CCGCATATAGTAATATCAGCGGATTAATCGCATTTATCATATTGTAGCTTTACGCCAGCTGACTGTGGCCATATTCAGGCTTACCAGAGAAACTACTTTTACATTATCACGCCTCGTAACAAAGTAAATCATTCAGGGGAATCTAGACATGTACCTACCAGGCTACGTAAAAGCATTCTATGTCCCCTAATGCAACTTAGACTCGCCCAGGGTGGACACGGACACGAGTCGGCGCCAGTGAGATTCGAAAGCCAACTGTTTAGTCAAAACCCAAGCAGTTAGCCAATTCACTAGCGAGTTTGCAAATTGACTGCCTCAATACTTCTGAGACTTGCTGTAACTCAATGGGGCCAGGGACTTGACTAGTTCCGCTGAACAACCTCCTTGGTCCAAGACATTCATAATGATATTGAAATGGTGAAATAAGTAAATTTACTATTTACAATATAATACAGTAGTGATCGAAAGACAGACTCAGAATCACCAATTTAGTCCAAAATTAACAAAATAAATTATAGAAAAATTATGTACCAAAAAATGAGCAGGAAAATTTATGGCATAAAATGGATTAATTTGTGGTTCAAGAGTAGATATATACATTTTTTTTTATTAATTTCACTAATTTTAATAGGAAGAGTTTGACACATGTTATCCTGTGAGCAGTGTGGACAGAGCCTGAAACAGACGTGCAACTAACCATATTTAAAAAAAAAACTTTCTAATAATTATTGACTTTGCAATATATACTTTTGCCAAACTATATTGTTGGGATAGCCATAATCTATTTAGGAACATCTACGGTCGATTCAGGAATATCACTCAGTCATGAGAATTATATAATCATTCGATAGTTTAATATTTTGGACACCAAGAGATAACAAGATGGTGGAGCAACAGCAAAGTGACAGATTGTAACAATAACAACAATTGAGCGGTAAACCATGCGATTGGTTGAATGTTCTAACATTGTAGCTGAATGTAACAATAACGTTATCGTAAAAGTTCTAACATAAACTAAAACATATATTCATTTCGTGGGCAACTTTTACTTTGTCTCTTGCAGAAGGCAGAGAAATATGCAGCAGATCTCATCAATGATGGACATCAAAAGAAAAAGAAAAAAAGAAAAATTAGAGTAAGTCAATTTTTTATATCAAATTTATCAAAGAAATAGAACAATTTTGTCAAAAAGTTTGTTGAGATGTGCCATTGGCTAAAGTACTGTAGGGAATATTGCCATTCTAGAAGGACATCTTCAGTCATTACTTCTTTTTTCAATCATTCCAATTTTAAATAGACAACATAAATAAAAACATGACATATTTTTACTTAAACTTTATTTTTTGGGGTTAAAATATAACCATTTTAAAACTTGGATATATTATTAATTAACCAGTTGTGTCTCAGCCATGCTTTATTTTGGCATGTCTCGTATGTATATATGTATAAAATACTGGTGAAAATGTCACTTAATTAAAATTGTCTCCTTCTTATGATTACACTAATTTCTATCTGAGATCTGTCAATCAGAAAATGCAGTATCATGTAGAATACAAATGTACTTTTTCCTCCAAAAAAATTGGTAAATATTTTTCTACCCAAGATTTCCTTTGTACTATTTAGCAACTATTATACAATTTGTAAAATTATTCAGTAATAGATTTTGTGATCAATGCACATATTAGTGTGTTTCATTTATCATTGAACAAATTAAAGTTCTGTGCTCCACTATAGGTATATACATATTTGTCAAAATAGAGTACTAACAATAACAATCTTAAAAATGTCATTTCTCATCTTTAAGTATTCGTGTTTTCAACTTATAACTAAATCATCATTGAACACCATTGAAATGCATTGTGTTTGAAATAGGTCCCATATGATATCCACAGTGCATATAAATACAAAACTCAATTATGTGCTTCATGACGAATGGTCACATAAATCATTCTGTGCTGTTCAGTATGGGTCTCAAAGTTTATTCACACGAAAGTTAAATATGCGCTGTGAGACGACTGTGGCTCTGTAATAATGTGATCTGATATAATATTACATGTACAATATTCAGGGTAATATTTAAAAAAAAATATCTATTCTAATGAATTAACAATTAACATAGAATATTATATTGCTCTTTGTTTCAAACCATCAGGAAGATGAGGATTCCAGTCCACAAAAGAAATCTAAAATTGACACCAGTGAAATGGAGTCGACAAGTTCTGATTTAACAACGGAAGATAAACTGCTCCTAAAATTAGAAAAGAAAAAAAAAGTAAACAAGTTAATGGTAAGACCCTTCTCTCCATCTCTTACTTTTCTTCACTCTTTGACTCAAATAGGAGAGACGTCTACTGCTTTAACACTTTGCCCACTGTCTGAAATATATTTTACTAATCTGCATATTAATTAAAACAACATACTATCCCTTCATAGTCCTATTATCAGGCACAAGAACACAAACACATTTGCAGTATTGATGTTTTGTCTTGTATCACTAACTCACATCTGTGTATAAGGTGAATGATTGTCAATACCCTGTGACCAGTTATTCTCAAGTAATCTATCAAATTTTTGCAAGGTTATTATCAGAGAACTTACACCAGCTCAAAGAAAGAAAATTAAAAGAAGACTATGTTTGTGTGGATTCTTCATCACATAACACGTTAACATCTGGAACACCAAAGTCACTTTTGTTGTGTTTCAAAAAAATAAACACAAAGATATATACATCGGGAAATTATATGCATTTGAAATGAAATGAAATTAACAATTATATTGTAGAAAAATAGATAAAAATGCGCCCAAAATTTTGGCAGAAGAAATTATGATATTTAAAGGGTTTAGAACACAAACATATACCCGGCTACAGTCTTCTGTATTCATTTTTGGCTACAAGCAAAACAGGGATGATAATTGGGAGAGATTGATTTACATCTACACCTAGGTTACTCTTTCATTGTTTCTTTTTCTGATCCAGCAACTTCCAAAGATATTCTTAACTTTACAAGAAATTTACGGCAGAGCCATTGAAAAGGAAGATGCAATCATTCCACCTTTGGATATCAAAAATATTCAGGATTTAGTTTTATACTCTCTGATTGGAATGAATGCCAGCGTTATTCCAAGGTAGGTTTTGCTCAGAGTGTGGTATTGTGCTTTGACTATAGTATTACTACTGTGTTCCCAAGTGTTGGGGGGATTATTGGCTTAATGTGAGGAGGGTACACTCATATTTAGCTTCTAGTATTATTTTTTTTAAATCAATTGTCAATGTTAGTTGTTAAAAAATTCCATTGCCACCCAATCTATTTTCAACAAAAATGTCAGACAGGGTTGTTGATAACTGTCAGTCATATGCTATGCATTGTACTTGTCCCAGATACTTGCTGACAAATATATATACCTTACTTCTCGATCATTAGCCCCTCCCCGAGTATAAGCCTCCAACCCTCTGTTTTTAGAGATTTAACAAGTTGAGGGCATCCCCAAGTATAGGCCCAGGATGTTTTTACCGTGCGTCGATGGCATTTATTAAAATATGCATGTAAAAAGTGTAATTCACTCTTGTTCAATTACCCACCATAGACTCCAGTCAGTCAAAATGACTATTTTGAACTGTAGGCATTAATCTGATTCAGCCGAAGACGAGAGAGAATTCTAGGTCAGGGAAAGCCCCATGACTTCAAAATTTTCCCTTACATCATGAACCACGTGACGAGGCAATGAGGCGCAGCCATCCTGTCCTCTCAATCATTCTGTTTTTTTCTTCGCCTCGAGTGGTTGGCGCAATAAAAACGATGCGATCAGTCATCCAGATTTTATCCAGACTAGCTGTCACCTGCCGATGCTGGCTGGTAGAATAAGTCTTTCTTATTATTTACCCCTGTGTCGCCTTTTTGTGTGCATTGCCTTACAAAAAAACAAACAAACTTGGGTGATCTCTTTGTGTCAGCTTTTAACTGTAATTCATTCCTCTTCACCTCCCTTTTTTTTTCATATGGTAGTTGCCACCAGGAATTACCAGCTTATAACCCACATAGCATTGTGTTTCGACTGTGTGCGGGGCTAGGGTGCAAAACATCGAGACTGAGCGTTTCACTACTAGTTGCAGCAGTTGAGCGTACAGTAATGGAAGCGTGAATGAGTGGAGTATGAGCAGAAAGTCCTCCCACTACAGGTGCCTCGTATACTGCGGTGACGAGTGAGATGCCTGACAGTGGAGCCCCCCCACTCCCACCCGCTGATCAGAGGGCTTCCTCGCAGTCTGCTTCTGCAGGCGACGGTTTGCCCGATCATACCGATAATAACGAGGCTGTGCCCCTGAAGGTTTTTACTCCAATGGGACCAATTGCGGGTCCCTCTGTGGACCCGTCCTCGCACGGCACCAGGTTTGCCTACAGGACTCAGGCTTTGGTTGAGGACAAATTGCGTACCTTGCAGGTCAGGTAGACCAAATGCAGGTTGCCTCCACTGCAGTTGCCCCTTGCCTTGGCTAGTGACAATGACCCAATGACAAGGAATTGAGTTCCGCCTCCACTACGAGTCACTCCTTCTTTGGGGACTCGCAGACGCTCCCAGAGGGGACTTGCCCGGCCATCACGGCGGGTGCTACCTCGGGCAGCCCCTCAGAGACATGTCGTAGGGTGATGGGGGGGGGGGGGAACATCGATCCTAGTGACCTGATGTTCAACCACCCATGACCGGTTGTGTGGCCATCTCTCTGTCAAATGTCAATTTATGCGCTATCATGGCATCAACCAGGCTCGGTCGAACACAAGTACCTGCGGACCTTATCCAAGGTTCCCCAAAAGTTGTATTCGTAAGTGAATGAATCTCGGCCAGTGAAATTGGCTTTTCATTGAGTCTGTGGCAAACTCATCAAGTGTAGTGATCAACCCATTTTGATGATAAGATTTAAACTTGGGTCTACCCTACTGATCATGACAACCACTATGCTACCAGTGACCAGTAAAATACTTGATGATAAATTACTATCTTGGTGAAAGCTGCAAAGTAACAAGACATCATGACTTCCAAAGAAAGTGAACACTCACACCGGATGTATATTTAGACACTCACCTGTCAACAACTAAACCTGCTTAGATTAATTGAAAACATACATACATTTGTACTTCTCTCTTAGGTGGTGTAAAATTTTAAGATGGACTAAAATAAGTTCAGTTGTAATGGTGGTGTTAAACAGTGTATCTCAGGAACACTTTGAAAAATACCCAGAATGCTTTACAAATACTAGAGCTATTTTTGATATGGTAAGTACATGTATATATCAAATCAAAACAAATGACAGTGTAGCATGACTTTCATCAGTGATTATTTCTTTATACTGTAACATTTCTTTGCATTTCTAATTTCTCATTTATTTATTCTACAGAGTGTTCCAGTCATTCCTTCTAAAAATTCTTTCATTTACGACTTTTTATATGTACCCTTGTCAAAGACGAAAATAAAAAAATTAATGAATAGTGATGAGAAAGGTGAGACCTACTTTATTTTCTCCTGTCATTATTAAATAATAATATAAATAATTTATAACAGACAATTAGATTTAAGCTAGATTTACCCATTTGATACAGTGAAATTACAGATGTACAGGACTGTCCTATCCTAAATTTAACATTAAAGTGGCTTGTAGCTGTAGTATTTATAACATCCACAACTTATTATTTTGGGTATAAAATATCATAAATGTTAATGGTTTTTTGCAGATAAACAGAATGGTGGAATTATGAATGAGTTTAGTAAGTACATGTATTCTGTAGGGTTAGGGCTTCTTGAATTGAGTAAAAAGTTTTGATTGTCAGATTTCCGTTGATTGAATGGTTTTCGACTGGTTAAGTTAAGGTTCATTCAGTTATTAGGATTAGTTGACATTTTCTTGAAATTTATTTACTATATATTTACTGTACTTGAAATTTCACCATACCAAATTTAGGCTTGAACAAAAAGATGCATTTGTTGATCATTTTTCAATATATTGGTAGAAACCAGGAAAATATTATTAGCCAATTTTGAAATTATGCACGCTGCCTGGACCCAAATCTTTTCTTTGTTGCCTAAAAGCTGACTGATCATTCATTTTGTTGCACTCAGACAATGGTGATGAGAGTGATTTTGATGATGTACGTTTACCAGACAGAAGAGGATATGTATTAACGCAGGAAATGATGATGATGAATGGATTTCCAACAGAAAATGAGAAAAATTTTAAATCCACAAATTACAGCGAAACCTTATCCAAAGACAGTCCCATGTTTGGATTAGATTGTGAAATGGTATATATAATGTATAACTTGTATGCACACCACTTACTTGTACATTTGTACCATCTAGACAAATTACATCACATGTTAAGGATGGCTAGTAAAAATGTGGAAATTTTAAAAGCACCAGAAATTCTAAATAATTTCAAATCAAAAATTGGGGTACATGTACCTGAACTGCCAGCTTTCATGAAAACATTGAATTTGTAATTTTCTTGTAGCGATGAGCAGTTCAACGGCAGCCATTTTGAATTAAAAATACATACAATTTAGTTTCATAATTTGAAACACAATTTCAGAAATCCAACCAAAACAACCCAAAATTGAGAATAACCGTATAGCTAAATTGTCAAAAGTGTGTGTTAGTAAAATCTGTATTAGAAGAGGCATCCCTACTAGAAATCGCACCCATTCTTTTTGAACAATTGAGAACCAAAAATTCATCGTTTCTCATATGTGTAGATGCTCTAATAGAAGCCGCATCACCTGTTGTATTGTACTATTTTAATAGAAGCTGTGGTTTCTAATACAGATTTTACAGTAATTCTCTGATAGACTTTATGTATGTTGTACCATTGAACCTATAATAATATAAATGTATATATGTAAATTTTCTTGTTTCAGTGTCAGACCAAGAAAGGTCATGAACTCACTAGAATATCATTAGTGGATGAAAAATATAATGTTTTATACGATACGCTAGTCAAACCAAAACGTCCAATCATAGACTATTTAACACAGTAAGTTGTTTTGTAATTATTATTTGAAATGCCTAACCACAAATGATAATGCTTCACTACTAGAAATGCACCTTTGATAGTTTTCATAGATAGTGATAGTTTATATTTACAAATATTGTCAAATTACAAATATCAATATTTCTGGTGATAACAATGTAACACTCTTCATTTTAATGTTTTAATTAATTGTGACTTGGACCAGCTTTATTGTGGATTAAATGTACTGGTAACTGATACAGATTGGATGGTATATAATGATACAGACATTTGTCATTAAACACAGAATTTGCAGTTTATAAAAAAAAATTATGTTTATACATTTGTATCACATGTAGATACAGTGGTGTTACTAAAGAAATGTTAGACCCAATTGAAACAAGACTTAAAGATGTACAACAGAAGTTAATAAGTCTGTTACCACCAGATGCAATACTTGTTGGACATTCTCTGGAAAGTGATCTGCAGGCAATAAAGGTAAATATAGTAATTATCAAAATAATTGCAAATTGAGGACGAGATACCTTTTTGTCAAGATCTGTACACTTTTTTTAGATGAATATTGGTTGATACAAGTGATGTCATATCAACACTAATTACCACATACCCTGTATTGCCTGGCTTCGTAACTTAAGTGCATCCTCACTTCAAAGCAATAATTTCCCTTATCACGCCTGCCCCAGCGCACCCTGCTTTTATTAATCAAAACAAAATTCTAAATTACGTCACAGTGTGATAAAATTTTAATTAACCTATAAGGTATATAATAATACCTTTAATACCTGGATATGGATTTTGCTGCCCTCGGTCGTACATCTCATTCGCCCTCGCAAGCTCGATTGCTTCTGCCGCACGACCTCAGGCCGCAAGAGCGGTATCCAGTCCATGAAAAATAATATCACACGTATGGTTGATATGCATCATGCTTATTTGAACATGCCACAACATGTAGCATGTCTTGATTATGAGGTCTTACTAAAAATAGAACTGACGTAATCCTAGATAACTGTGCAGCACATGAAGGAAATCGAATAAGGTCATCATTTGTAAATGATAAAAACATTTTCAACTGTGTTACTTTGCTCTGATGTTTCAGTAATTTGTTGTGAATCCAAATAAAAGTTTACTGCTTGAACTAAGAATTAAGTGGTTGTTTGCATTTTGAATGACAAATGGAAGTCAGCTTGCTGTGCTCAGTTTTCTCTCCAATTTACATCTAAAATAACATTAGTATTATTTTTGTTGTTAGTTGTACTAAAAGAATACACTGAAAGAAAGTAATATACCGATTATTAAAAAAAATATGAAAATTTGACCAGATTTCCCCTGTTGCTACCTTAAAGCTTGTCTAAATCGAACATTCTCATAAATAAGTCATAATGCTTAGCCATATTATATGAAAACGAATGCTATTAACATTAAATTTTGTTTCTTAGTAATCTACATAAATTGAATTACATAAATTATTACAGTTATAACAATTTTACTTATGTTTTATAGATGTACCATCCTAATGTAATTGATACCAGTGTTCTATTTATTGGACGAAATCAACATAAACTTAGTCTGCGAAACCTTTCAGCAGTGTACCTCAAGTAAGTTAACGACATGCTGCATTACGTCAATTGTTATTCATTATGGGTATAGCTGGTGGATCTTGTATCCCTTTTATGTGTTCCCAACATACTGCGTATAGTGATTGCCTATGATTTTTCAAGGGTTGTGGTCACCAAACAACACACATTCAAATTTTTGTGTTAAACAAACAATGTAATTCACATATGTTGTATATGATGCATGATGATCACTGTGCTTCAAAACATCACCTGCTCAAACTCTCAATGGTTAGATAAAGTGAATGGTGTATAGTGGTACCAGGAAGTGATGTGTTAAAAATATCAGCTATTGATCTTATATCTGTTATTTTAGTTTTTCAATGAAAGGTAATTTGACCATTTCAGTGTTAACCTTTTCTCCACCCTCCTTTCATTACAAATTCACAAAATAGTCCTGTTTATAGTCTGCACTTTCCTTCAGAAGATTGGGACAAAAAATAGCCAAATTTTTTTAGTAAAAAATGAAAATTTACTCAAATTTTGTCTGTTGGCTCCAAAATTAGGGTTCATTTCAGGAAGTTTATTGAAGAATTCAATAAAAAAGTGTAGAAAATAGTTTTTGTATAAAGATGGTTTTGACTGTACCAACATACTGTGGGAGTTTAATGCTTAGTGTATCCGTTGCATGGTGGACTAACATGTGTTCTCTTGTCATTAATTATGTCAATGCTTAAATGTCTTCATAACATATTTTCATGACAGGAAGTCAATACAGGGAGGAATTGATGGACACGACTCTATAGAAGATGCTAATGCGGCCATGAAACTTGTTCAGCTGAAAATTGAAAAGGGGCCGTCATTGCAATCATATCATGACATGACCCGAAGACAAGTTGAAAGGTAAGTTCACATGTGATGAAATGTACATACAACTATAGACATGTTATGAATGTCTTTCATTGTAATCACATAGTCAGTTTTATTTTGATTGTCATTTGTTATTATACTGCATATCTTCTGATTTTGATAAGTGAAAACATTTGTAGCAGTGAACATTTCGTTGTGATTTCATTGTAAATTTTTGAAATGAATTGTACCGGTAATACAATAAATGTTTTTTATATAAAAAATTTATAAATGTTCAAAATAAATTTCAAATGGCGGCTGAAAACAACTTGACCAATCACAAGGCGTTAACGGATGTATTACAGTAAATCTACGAATGATTGAAGGGAAGCCAGCAGACACACAGATAATGGGTGTTGCCAATTGAAAATAGAGATGAATAAAACACCAGGGTCTCCGGTGTGAATATTTCGTAAATATTTCATAATAAAAACATTCATGCTATCATGAAATTCAGTGTATTTAAGAACATTCCATGAATATCTTGAAAAGTGTAAGCAGAGGAAATGATATTTTATGATCCAATGTTTCATATTCAGTATGGTGCAGTATCATGGGCAGGGTTTCAACTATTTCGCTATGATTTCTCTTTTTTTTTCTAGTTTTTTTCGCACAATTTACAGAGAAGATGTTGATGGTAGTATGTTAGACAATATAAGTAATGTCAGACAATTTAAAAGTGATCCTGTGAGTACTATACCATGTTGTAACGATAAAGAGGTGAGTCAGTCAGTGAAATGTACTAACATAGACTTCTATACAATTCTTATTGTCTTTTTTGAAAATAACAATGTAGAAATTAAAAAGAAACATGCCCTGAAAATAGATGACTTTTCATGCCGCCTCCTAGCACCAGCGTGATTTCCTACCAGTGATGCAACTTGTATCTATTTCTGGAAGGAGCAGGTTAAGCCAATCAGAAACTATACAAAATTTGTATACCATTATACATAATATGTAAGAGATTCAACAGGAAGAAAACTATAATTCACTATGTAATTATTTATTTTTATTCGCACATTTATTTACAACTTTTCTTAGGATTATTTTATTTAATGGCAAGTAATGGTAATTGGTATTTATAACCGCATTATAACATGCTTGCACAAGAAATACACGACAAAATCGCTATTTATTTGACACTGCTACATGTATGTGTTAATTTTCAATTCTCCCAACGAATTTTTGGGAGGTATTCTGACAAAAAATTAGTATTTGAATGTGTAAGTGTGGTGTTCAGTTTTACTCAATGGAATGTATGTCTGTTGTCATTCCTGCAGGCGTTACGTAAACTACCAGGAGCTTTACATTTGGGGAAATTTACTTGGCTTCAGTTGCATTCACTGAATACTGTCTTACAAGGAGTCACACTGGATGATAACACAATATCTGTGAGTAATATCACCACATTGTTAATTTTGAATACACAGGATTATGTTTGGTTTGAAACTCATTTGTGAATATAAATTACCTATTTAGCATACAATGAAATTAAGCTGTATTGTTTAATTGTTTTGCATACAAATGAGCTATTTTCAGCATATTTTGTTTTGTATCACAAGTTTGTTAGATTTAATTGAAACTTTGTACATGTCAGCTGCTTATGTAATTGAACGCCTGCATAATCAGAGATAATTTGCATATTATTTAGGTACTTTTTAAACTATAATATGCTTGCTTAATTGAACTGATAGTGCTCTCTTCATGAAAATATCGCTGATTTAATATTTTTTATTCAACTGTTTCACATATTGTACTAGAACTGAAACAAATGCTATTTGAAGTTGCTGATTTGTTTACATGGAAACTAAGTACTGTAAATAATTTTGCTTGGAATTAATTTTCACTATTTTTGCTGAAAATAAAATCTAGCGAATATACTTTTTTTTTCTTATATTTTACATTGAACTCGTCAAAAATCAGTGAAAATAAATTTGATACAAAACACCAAAAAAGTTCTTTTTTTAGCAAAAATTAATCGCAGCTATAATAAAGTATTTTATAGAAATTGTTAGTTTGCTTTAAAGCAGTATTTGATGTTTTATCACAGTTGAAAACTGCATGTACTATACAATC